ATAATGTTCAGGGACAGGCTTCTAAATTTTTCTTTGGTTTTCCACCCCCCCCCCCCCCCGTGGCTAATGAAGGAACAGCGCCTTGAAAATAGACCACGGCTAATTCCGTATTTTGTACAATACACTTATCTTCATTTGAACACTAATGAACCTTCAGGTTCCATAAAATGTTGAGTAATTCTTGAGTAGCTGAGCGACTGTTTGCTTCTCAAGGACTCTGTTCCACGGAGTCCCTTATTCAAATCACGTAGCGCGTACATTTCTGCCTTCAGGTTTCTCCATGTAAAGGTAAGATAAGATTAAATTTTTGTTTATTTCAGTGGATTTGAGAGTCTCACAGTGGCTCCCATACGAAGGTAGCCCTTCAGGTCAGAGATGAAAGAATGTTTAGAAACGTTGGCGACTTTCCACCGGACTCCGCGGCATTGCATCTTAGAAGGCAGCACCCTCAAGTCTCGCTTTGTTGTTTCTTCCGCGATGCGTCTGTGTTGGGGGGTGGGGGCTGACATACTGTGTAACATTTTGTGATGTTCTGCTTATCAGTGAGGTTCGTCCACATATCAACAAAACCTGTTGAACGCAATTCCAAATTTATTCACAGTCATAATGAATGCACTTAGCGGTAATTTATTCCCCCTGTAGATGAGCAGGGATAGCTCAGTCGGTATAGCGACTGGTTAAGGGCTGGATGGCCGAGAGGTGGGAGTTCAAGTCCCAGTAGGGGCGAAGTTTTTTCTCCTCTCCACGTCGTCCAGATCGGCTGAGGGGCCCACCGGGCCTCATAGGCCCTGAAAAACTGTCATCTTCACCCTTTAGTTTCTATAAACTCTGCAAGATCTTCCTGTGCATATGTCCAATGAACATGGACGACCACCAATCACTTCAACCCCTCATGGATACAGAGAGACAGGTTATTTTCAAACAAGACCTCACTGCACCATCATCTTGCCACAGTCTACAAGAAACAGTAAAATTACTTGGTAAAAGCTAATATATGTTAATATTGTCGCGTATTGGGTATAACGCGACAGATAACTTCACGCTGTATTTGGTATAGCGAATTTTATTTCACATTCGCACTTATAATCACCCAAATTACAGATTTACGATTACTGCTATCTGCAGTATCACAAATAGTACACTCCAAATGCCAGAATACAACTGACTGGTTGCTGGCTAACTCGGAAGTAACTCGGAGGTAGTTTGAGGACTAACTCGTAGGTAGCTCCAGGACTAACTGTGAATAGCCTTCGCTGCTCCTCATGTAGCCTCGATCGGACAATACAGAAAACGGCCACGTAATAAGCACCCTTGTTGCCTGGCGCTGTGTTGCTAGCAACGCTAGTGGTAGTAACCGCTGTTACTACCGTCGTCTCTCGCAATCCTGTTTACCCGCGCTGCCCTTGGTGACGTCATCGCTGTTGACTCGCGTTGCCTAGCGACCAGGATGCTAGGACTCGGCTAACTTCGGCTTCGGTAGGCGCATCACGGCTGGCGGGGGGGGGGAGGAGGGGCGTTGTCCATAGCTCAACATGTCACAATATTATACAGTGTCACTATTATATTTAAAATATCATCAATCTCCACACAGCATAATACTCATTTGCACAGTTATTCATGTAGGTCAGGAGCTGGGTTTGGAACTCTTGACATAAATGTTTCAATGAATATGCTGTTATAAATTTACCACCCGATGATCCATTAGCATCATGATGTTCCTTCCAGACCCAAAGAAATAACACACAGCACCCCTGTGAACACAAGAAGTAACAGTTCAATAAATGCCATCAATTTTATCTTCACTGTGGACCAGAATACTGACACATATATTAGAATTCTGAATGCACATGGCAAAACATTACCATCCCATTAAAATCTTTCCATTTGCTAGCGTTACTGTGCGATCACATGACACAAAATCCTTAAAGTGAACTGCCCCTTCCAAAAGTTGCACACATGTCACTGCTTCACTCCTTGCTCAGTTTATGACCCTCCCCACAAATCTGTCACTCTAAACAGAATCACTTCAGTCCCTACATATGCAAAAAGAAGCCTCCTGACTGCACACTCTTCAGGGTGGAATCCTTCACCATATGTTAGATTCACAATTTCTGCACTAACAACATAGATACATTTTATCACATTGTATGTTACTAGTAGCACCAACTCTCACATCTATTCCCAGACAATCTGCAAGCTCACGGTGAGGTCTTCTGGGTTGTAACATTGTCTACTCATGTAGGTAGATATGTAGTTTTTGGAGGAACGTGGTTATCTCCACAGGTGTGGTACAATTCTGAGCATTTGTCTGCATGCATGAATTGCTTTCTGCTGCAAGCCTTGCACAAAGCCATCTTCTCCTTTCACAGTTTCTTCCCTTTACACATCACACTGGCCACTGTCCTCTATCCTTCATGTCAGTGAACTGATGCTCCCCATTTAACCTTTCTTCACGTGGGCCACTGGACAGTCTGTCTGCTCAGCCTCCACCGATGACACTTCTTTAATGCACTTGGGATTCAACAACACTTTGCCTAACTTCTCAGTTACAGTTACTGCACATGCCCATTTAGACTTGACATCCAGAAAGTAGGTTCACAGCATATGTGATGAGAGTAGAATACAACTCACTCACTACTCATGTGGCTTTGAAGAAAATACACTCACAATTTCCTAGTTTATCACTGTATACCCTTGACTTATATACCTAACCATTACTACTGTCAGACAACACGGATTTTCAATACAAATTTCACTTATTTCACAGAGCTGTTAGTCTGAAAACATTTCCTTGCCCTGAATGACATTCTGCCTTCATCAGCAGTTTCATCTGTACTGGTTGTCACAAACTGAAGATGACCGCATTCTTTCCAGTGTCAGTGTGACTATGTTTTCCTTCTTCGGTTAGCCACCTCCCTCAGATCGTACAATGTCCAGGTTCCAGAACATGAGCTGAAACTCATCCCTCTGGCTACATGCCTAAAAGACTGACATTTTACATACACACATATATACGTACATTTCATTAATCCAACATTAGCCCATACACATGTGAATATGAAACATGTCAGGAGATGTACATTGTACAATGCAACTTGAGCAAACGAGACATTAAACAATAATTTATACACCATACATAAATGACAACGTAAGTACAGAATCTAGTATAACAAAATATGAGTATCAGTGCTTAAGAAATAAACAACAGAAAAGGCTACAAAAGCTAAACATCCTTTTATAAAAAGAATTAATAATCTGATATAAACTTTTCTATAGAATAAAAGACATGTGCTAGATGATAATTCCTTAAAGCAGACTTAAAAAATGGCTCAACATTTTTTAATCTACATATACTAGGTGGCAATTACTGAATACCTTAATAGCAGAAAATATAATACCTCTCTGGATAGCATAAAGTCTACCTGAAAGTATGTGTAATTGATTCTTACATCTTGTATTAATGTCACGGAAAGGAGAGTTACATTTAAGGCAAAAAAAAAACCCTTTAATGAATAAATATATACAAACTTGAAATAGGTGAAATCTCCAATTTTTAACCACTTTCTGCAGGAACTCTGTCAACTTAATCTGAACATAATTCTTAATACCTTTCTTTTTTAATTAGGAATACCTTACGCATAGAACTAGTGAACTAGTGTTAGCCCAAAATACTATTCCATAATTAACCAAAAGGTGAAAATGTGCAAAATATAGTCATCAATTTTTGGATATCAAGAACTGGAGATAATCTTCTCATTATAAAAGAAACCGAATTCATGTTATTCAGTAAAAAATTAATATGAGGCTTCCATGGATGTTGACTGTTCAGTTAAATTCCTAAAATTTTTCTTCAACCCTGTCTGAGAGAAGCAATCTGTAAAATCAGCATAGGCATCGATTCTAAGACCATGGTTATAACACCACTGAATACTGCCTCAGTATGAGAGTAGAAGGCAACCAAGAGCATCATTTAAACACAATATAATGTTCTTTGTATCCCCCAGGAATGATACGTGCATTGGCACTGTGAACATATGCGAGTATAAAGTAATGCTTAAACAAACTTTTACAATAAAATGTTCACTGCAGACCCAAAATAAGGAACACAGATTAGCACTGAGAACAGTTTTAGAAACAACATTTAAAAGCTTAAGACACAATGTTCACTGAACACCATTAAAAGAATTCATCCACTAGCACTCTGAACAGAAGAAGCAAAAATTAAACAAAGGCTTACAATAGTACGACTGCTTAGAACCAGCACTCCTATGCAATACACAAAACACTGTTACACAAAGCATATGATACACTGCCAAGAGTTCTGGGCACATCTCAAGAAGTCCATTCCCATCACTGTATTGTTCAGGCCTTATTTCAATTATGTGAATTTGTAACTGAAACAAAAACACATCATATTATACCTGGGTTGTACCCATAAGCACCATTATACCACGAAATCCTTACACAGTTTTAAAATAAAGAGTGTTGTCACGTGTATTTGTGACTTTACATGGGGTTTGGATTGGTGAATACATTCATTGAACACTCACAGGTCATAACTACAACTGTCTCACTGGTTTACACACTCTTAAAGATTACTGTTCCCTGGTAATCGCTTTCAACAGCAGATGTTCCCCTTACTGTGGATTCACGAACTATCCCCATACCTGAGCTACCAGCTTCTAGCAGCAACTACCCATTAACGATTAAACCCCAGCAAGTTCTGACTGCTCACCAACTAACACATTTCATTCCACTACACTTCATTAACTGAACTCAGTCATGGTACATAGCCTTTGAGCGGGCCGCATAGGAAAACTCTGCTTCCAACATTACTTCCAATGTTGAGCGCAGGCTGCTGTCTCACAATGGTTGTTGTATTGATGTTTTGCTGTCATTGCCTAGCAACAGTCTACATGCAACAATAATTTTCATGCTACCTGCAGGCACACTTTAGTATCTCATCCTCAAACCAAGATTTTCTGTATGGTAGGGTCTAGAATACTGACCTTACAGAATTAATCAACTGAGAGTCTGTATGGTGGACCCTGGCTAACCAGGCACTACTGCATGGGGAAGGCACTGATGGCTTAGAAGCCAGAAACATTGTGATAAACTAATAAACTACAGAATAATTGCTGATGGTTGATAGTTGATGGTGTTGGATTCTATTTAAGAATTAAATTAAAATTGACCAATTAATGTATGGGAACACTTTTCTAACACCTTAAGAAATTTTGCAGGACACAAGATATGAATATTATGAAGATAAAATGTTCATAAAGGAGTTTTGATATGAAACAAATACCTTGAAGAAATTCAGCTGTCTGCCATACTGCTGTCTAAGCAAACACAAAATACTTTGCATATTACAGATTTTTCCATGCAAACATTTCTAATCTGTATAACATGTCTCCCACTGACACTCACAAAATTCATTATGCTTCTCATACAATTATCACTGTCAATCCAATAATTTCCATTTCTACACATCTGAGAACAAGATTTCCAATTGTATGCAAAGTTCAGGACAGGACTGTCCAGTATCTGTTGCAGATCAAAATATAGGGAGTAGGATAGCTGCACACTTCATCACACTACATATGGCTAGTTCCACCAACTCTTGTGTTTATTTACACCCAGTGTATTACATGCCATTAACTCCGATATTTCGAAAAAAAGCTATTTACAAGCCGAGATTGAGGTCATCTGGATTCTAAGACTGTACTCTTGTCAAAAGGCAAGGCATTTTGGAGGAATATGTGGCCTCTGTTTTCTGGGAAGAACTCATTACAATATCTCACACATCTGGGTAATGTACTTCAGAGCATCTGTTACATTTTTACTGCACATCTTGTAGGAGCACAGTGCCTTTCCTCAATCTGTTTTATACATGACACAGGTCACACCCCCAATTTTCCTTCTGGTCACTAATATGAGGTCTTGTTCTCAGAATCGCTAGATTTTTTACTTGTTTTATTTACCACACTGTATAAAACCTGATGTGAAATCGAATTCATGTTCCAAATATTGTATTAACACAACTGGAAGGAACGAAGGCTCATCCACACTGATGTTGCCTGTTAAGAATAAGAGGTCACACCAATCATAATGACAACTTACAATTACTTCTACATAAACTACATACATCATTGTACTCCAATGTGCATTACCAGATGCGAAATCTCCGAATTCATGCTTCCAATATTGTGTTAACCTGATTGGGAGAAATGAAGTCTCATTAACACTGATGTTGCCTGTAAGAATATAAGGTCACATCAATCACAATGACATCTCACAATATCTTGTTCTACAAACAACACTGTACAGTACCTGACGTGAAATCACTGGATTTATTTTTTAGAGAATTGTATTACCCTGAGTGGGAGAATTGTAGGTTCATCAACACTGGTGTTGCCTCTAAAAGAAAAAGATCATACCAACATAAATAATGCCTTATAAAGGACATATGTAATTGACCACTGTACACTCCCTGATATGAAATCTCTAATTTCTTGGTTTCAACATAGGAATATGCTGACTAGCTGCAATTCAGTTATGAACTAATCTTTTCATGCAAATAAGTTGTACCTACATTCCTGAAAACTTATAGCGATTTTTTTTTCAACTGACCACACTGTACACTAACTGAATCGAAAATTTCCGAATGCTTTTTTTAATATTATATTTTATCCTGTGTAGCAGCAATGAAGACTCATTAACACAGTTGTTCCCTGTAAAATAAGAATTGGTATCAGCTTTATGACAGCTCATAAGGATGGATGCCTTATCTGAGCTCACTGTACACTACCTGATATTAAAACTCAGATTTCAGGTTTCCAAAATACTGTTAAACTGAGTGCTATCAATTAAGTCTCATAAACACCAATGTTACCTCAAATAATGAGTGATAAGAACATTAATGACAATTCAAAAAGATGACTCATTCAGCTCACTACACTGTACAGTACGTGATGTGAAATCTGTGACTTATGTTTCCATTGTTGCATTAACCTGAAAAGCAGCAATTAAGACTCAACATAGTTGTTCCCTGCAAAACAAGACATGTTATCATCATTAATGACAGCTCATAAAGTTGGATTCCTTCAGTTGACAGTACTGTACCTGATGTGGCATCTCTGAAATCATGTTACCAATAGGGTTTTAACCAGATTTCTTGCAACGTTTGCTCATCAACACTGTACTTGTCTAAAAGAAAAGAGATCATACCAACATTAATCCTAACTTAAAAAGAAGGACTTGTTCAACTTACCACATTGTACACTACCTGAAGTGACATCTGTGAAATCATATTTCTATCCTATGACTAATCTGACCAGAAGCAATAACAACTCAACACAGTTTTCCCTTGCAAATAAGTAGTGGTACCTACAGTAATGAGAGCTCACAGAGGATGTCTTCAGTATATCCCGAGTTACACTACATAATNAATTTACACTACATAATCTGAAGTCTCTTAATTTCTGTTTCATCATAGCCTTAGCCTGACTGGGAGCAATGACAACTCATCAACATGGATGTTTGCTGTGGCATAAGAGGTAGTAAGAAAGTAAAGCTGTCCCCTGTGCATAAATAATTTAACACTACATCATAAAGCTGTATGAAGGAGTGGACATATGGATCGACAGTGCAGTCGGTATAGTTACTGGCTATAGGCTGGATGACCGAGCGGTTGGGAGTTTGAGTCCTGATAAGGTCAAGAATTTTCTCCTCTCCATGTCATCTACACTGCCTTTGAGGGCCCAGTCTCCAGCTTCTTCTTCAATGGGTACCGGGGGGTCTTTCCCCAGTGGTAAAGTGGCACAGGCATGAAGCTGAGCACTCATCTTCAGCTAGTGATGAGGCCAAGGAAATATGGATCTAGAATAAGAGGGAGTACTATCATTAATGACGGCTCACAAAGAATGCTTAGTTCAAGTGACCAATTTGTACACTATCTGATAAGAAAATTCAGAATACATGTTTTCAACATATCGTCACGATTTAGGGGTGTGACTATAGACGGGGTATGGATTGGCTGAATTGGATTTATTGACCACTTCTACATACCACTCAGAACCACAATTTGCATTTCACTGACACACACAAACCCTACTGTCCTCAGTGTATTACAATATCCACTACCCCCACTACAGATTTTCCGTTTCTGTGGCCCGCTGTTTAACACTCCATACCTGAACTCATGGCGCCTCATCTCACCCTCATTTGCAGAGCCCAACTCTCCACTAGTTGCTCACTTGGAACTCCGGAATTCAACTGCCGATTCTCAACTAATTCTTCTTTATTAACTACATCTCACGGACCGAATGCAAAACGCCATTTTCAACAATACCCCTACTGTGGGCGTGTCTACCGATTCGGTGCTTGGAAATGCATTTCATGACACCGTTTTCCTATTGTTGCGTGCAGGTTATGTTGCGGGCGTTACCTAACATTACCTTTGATTCCTATCATTTTCGGTAGTGCACGTGTTTTCACAAAAATATTATAAATGAAATTTCGCAGTAACATTTGGTAAAGGTTTTTAATATAACGGAAACAGGGCCAGTCCCCCCCCCCCATTTCCGATCTTTCAGTGTAGAAGTGTCAGCATCAAAGAATACTAAGATTCATGTCTATTTATTTCACTTCGCTTTCGAATTAGCCATTACGAAGTTCAAGGAAAATAGGAGAAGATTCCTTTCGAATGAGGCACAAGTTTTTCTGGTCTACGCTGATGATGTTAGTCTACTAGAGGAACCAATATCTTTATAAAAGATCCAAGAGCCCTATTAGACGCTAGCAAGTATGTCTTTAAGTAAGAAAATAAAAAAGAAACTGAGTATATGCTTATACTATACGTACGTTGAGAGAAAAATCATATTTGATAATTAATTCTGTGATATTTTTAAGTTTGCTATTTAACGACGCTGTCAGTATCGACAGTATACAGCGTCGATAATAGGATGATTAATGAATATGGAACGGTTGGTGAAATGAGAATTAGCATAGGAATCCGAAGTTCTCTTGAGAAAACACGCTCCGCTCTCACTTCTCCATGAATCCACACGATCTGACCTGCAATGGGAAGATGAGGCGAAGTTCAAACGTTTGTGGAAGACACTAACAAATCAAAACTGTATTTATGACAACGTCAAGGTAAGGTAAAACGGTAAAAGTTGTCCCTGTGCTCAGCTAATTCAAGCTCTACGCCATGAAGGTGTATGGGGGAGTGGATGTATAGATCCATATTTTCTTGATCTCGGCACTAACTAGAGGTAAATTGTCAGCTTCATGCCCCGGCCGCTTTAACCCCGAGGGAAACACCCCCGGTACCCATTGCATAGGAGGTAGGGTGGACACCAGGGCCGGTCTGGACGATTTAAAAAGAGAAAATTCCTGACCCTACCGGGTCTCGAACTCCGACCCCTCGGTCGTCCAGCCCGTAGTCACTCCGTATACAGACTACGCAACCCCGCGGGAAATATCTTACCATTACTTCTGAATGTTTCATTTCCTTGATCGCTACTTAAGGAGTAAAACATAAGGAACTGCAATTTTGTGCGTAGCCCAATAAGAATGTGACACCTGATCTTTCACGTTACGGGAAGAGCATAAATGAGGGCGTTTGAGAACAGCGGCTGAGGCGAATATATGGGCCATGGGCCAACTCCGACCCCTCGGTCGTCCAGCCCGCAGCCAGTCGCTATCCGGCTCTGTGGGAGCTAGTACTGCCTACATATTTCTATAGGAAAACCAAAGGAAAGAGACCATTAGGAAGACTTGGGTTTATATGCAATGATAATATTAAAATGTATATTGAGTAAATGAGATGAAAAGTTACGGATATGATAAACCTGGCTCCAGATTGGGACCACTGGAGGGGGTAATGAACCGTGTGGTTCTAAACATGCTGCAGTTTGTGTAGCTGAGCTCAACCACTGGCCCATCGCGGGAGATTCAGATCCACGGCTTCAATTCATGAGCCCGTTTCTTTCAATTTGAAACTTGAGTGCTTGATATATTTAGACCTACACCCCTGACATTTCTTCTACAGGTCTATTACATAATGCCGCTGTTAATTATAAAATGTTTCCATATAACACTTCAAATAAGGTACCTTTAAAAAGTCCTTGGTTCGAAAAAGCGGTGCCATACATGAAAGCAAGTCTCATAAATCCACGATTCCCAGAGTTACACTTGCACACTGGAAGAAAACCTGTATCCGCAGATGAGCCGTAACTGAACAACGCGAAACCTGACATCTGTGTGGGGCAGACTATATGCCATAATTATGTAGAACACATGCTCTAAACTATATTTAAGTAATTTTCTAACAAGTATTTTGTTCAATGCTTCCATTATCCTTATTTTATGTATTATATAGTATAATCCAATAGGGGAGAAGACGAATGCATGGTGGGAAAGCCAGAAGGAAAGAGCCGCTGGCAAGACCAAGGCGTAGATGGGTGGATAATATTAAAATTGATCTTAGAGGGGTGGGATGGTATGGATTGGATTGATCTGGCTCAGGATAGGGACCAGTGGAGGGCTCTTGTGAACACGGTTTTGAACCTTCGGGTTTCATAAAATGCTGAGAAATTCTTCGGTAACTGCAGATTTGGCTTCTCCTCAAGAAGGGCTCAGCTCCATAAGCAAGTAATAGGATAATCCAAATTATAGGTGTAGTCTAACACAATGGAATTGGTTTTTGAATCAATGTCCGAGCGAATGCGTGTAAAATCATCGCGTTTGCACAATTTCTAAGAGTTCCCTTTTCTTATACGGGAATATGAAACTTCCTCCATGAAAATAACATTCATCAAATGAGAGGTTTACTAGGGTGGCCATGAGGTTGTTCGGAAGGAAGTCATAAAAGCGAAACGAATCTGTAGGATTCTAACAGGTCCTGCCATGTTGAGTCGCATGAATACGAAGACGTGGCATATAGACCGATGTCTCTGTGCGAAGTGAAACAGGGCAACTGCTTTATATTTCAAAATTCTCTTCTTATGAAAACAATTAAAGTCGTCAATGATCATTTTAACTTACAATTATTTAAACATTGAATCTGAATTGAGCCCGCAGGGTTTGGGGGAGTGAAAAAACCGAGCTTTGAAAAAGAAAAGGAAATATACCGAACATTACTACCGAAAAGAGTGATCCCGTAATGATATTCTTAAATGGCTTCAGCTCTGTAAGCAAATTCTCTGACTGCGCATGTTCACATATCTGAACATCAGTCCACTTATTCTAGAAACCAAAATGGCTACAAGATAAAACGAATTTACAATATCTTCCGTGTTTGGTTTTTGATGTAAGTAGTAGGTATATAAACGTATGAGATACCACAAATTAAGTTTCATTGCGCAATGAAACTAAAAGAAACATCGTGATGCCACTTCGTAGGAAATGGCTGACACGTTAAAGTAGAAGAGGCCTCCAACCCAAATACAGCTCCATTTGTCTCAAACGGGACGACTTACCTTGCCCAACCCGTTGCGGCAGACAGAGTGACGTCCGTGACGTCCTTGACGTCCAACCCTAAGAACCAAACGGGACCAAACATGTCGCAACACGGGAAACACGTGTTCTACAGAGCAGAGTTGGCCAGAGAGAGGCGGGGTGCGAAACCGCAGGAACAAGAAATGAGCAGAAAAATTTGACGTCATATTCAACCTTCCTTCCTGTCATCTATGAAGAACAATTACGTTAGGTTCGCCAAATAGTACCGAACTATGTACGGCAGATGTCGAAAGCGCAGTTGGTAACTTGTAACCTCCTATTACGGCCACATCGATCCTGAAGATCTTGAAAGTGTTAATATCATGGGCATCGTGTGGCCTCGTAGCTGTGCATGTGCATTTCGGAGGTGCATATTGCCACCATATACAGCATAAAAACGGAGGCATGTGTTTATCCAAAACAATACACATCTACCAGGCTCTACTGTGCCACTACATAGAAGGCCACAATCTGGTTCTTCATTACCATGAAAACCTAAAAACTGTAGTAACAACTGACTTATGATGATATACGGTTGATGAAACTGGATTATAGTTATACATTCTTTGTAAATATACTGTTGTATTTAATGTCATACTGTTTATTCTATACTTCAGCCTTGCAGGTGCACTCACTCATACAGCTGAGCCCTTCTTGATAAGCCGCCAATTGTGCAGCTACGTAAGAACTTTCCAGCATTTTATGAAACCCGAAGGTTCACTCGCGTGTCCACAAAAGCCCTCCAGCGGTCTCTATCCTGAGCCAGATCAATCCAATCCATCCCATCCTATCTCTCTGAAATCCATTTTAATATTGTCGACCCACCTACGCCAACGTCTTCCCAGTAGTCTCTTTCCTTCCGGCTTTCCCACCAATATGTGCTGCCAATGCACAAGTCTTAATACGGGTTACACTAGCAAATAGTGAAGGTTATGTAGGGAATTCCTAGCTATCTGTAGTACTGCAGTATGGACACCCTGCGTCGTCCATCGACTATCCCAACAAAGGTTATTCGTGGATTTCCTCAACCCCTCAAAGCAAATGCCTGGATAGTAGGTCTCTGAGGCCACAATTGCTTCCTTCCACATCCTTTCCAATTCATCAATCATCCTACCAATCTACGCTATGCAGTCCAGGTGCTGACAGCACCGTAAAATTAACCACAAAAAGAAAATGTTGGAGGATTCCAAAAAAAAAAAAGCCCTTTGCATGTCTTTAGCCTAGGCATGGAGAAGGGAATCGAGATGAATTCTGTGAATAGATCCCAGCACAAAATCAATATATTGTACACGTCACCTTGAAGATATTAAAATTTAACTTCGTAGTCTCTTATGTCACATGGTATTCTAACCACACTGGGCAAGATAAATGGATTATTGTTTACCAGACTTGACGAAATTACAACATGATCCATAAATCATTGGTGATACAACATACTCTTCCGTAAATCTGCTACCACCACAGATATACGCCATCTGGCGTCATAACAAAATCGCAGTGAGCTAAAGGCAGGACTGAACTGAAATGTCGAGAAACCCCAGTATTACTACATTGAACTGAAGTAATGTTATGTGCTCTTTAGGTAAACTGTGGTGAATAACCTCTCCAGTTGGTATACCATCCTTAAATAAGTTGCTACGCAACCAGTCTACAAAATATGGGCAAAGAGCTTGATAAAATGTTCAGGAGTTAAAGCATAATGTAAGTGAATATCAGGCCATAGTTCTTTCCTTGTGTCTTTATGAGAGACGACATCTCCTTCTACTGTGGCTCTGGTATAGCATTTCCTTGTCCTTATCATTTCGTATCTCAGCATAGCTGAATGCCAGTTGCTACACATGACCTGTCGTTTTATTTATAACTTGTTTCTCAGAAACTACGGTGATTCACAGGCACGCGTGGATGGCGTGATGTAGTCACGTGATATCTGCAGTAACAACTCTCGTAACAGGCCACAGTCATCTGCTACGCGTTGCAAGCTACTTGATAGCCGTTTGAATTCGGGGATGTTAGCGAATTAAATCAGTTATATCCTACAATCGTTCTTGGCTTCGATCCCCGTCTTGTCCTATGCTCATATTTGTGTTGTGTTCAGACTTTACGTATTTTTAAATGGTGACTTCTGTGGGGTTTAACTACTACTGGTCACTCTGTTTCCCGATACGAGTATGGTTTGTCGTCCGATCCCTAAAAATGGCCCCAAATGAACCAGCAAGAAGTGTGTGCTCCTGGTAAGGCTTGTAAGCACGAACATTGTAACCTGCTTTTAGTACGAATGCTGAAACACTTTGTTAACAACCTTCCCACACTTTATGATTGTGTTTTGGTACAAGTGGTTCATCAAATTCTGTGGTCCCATGGGGCCATGATACGAGTTCTGGCCTATAGTATCTTCTGGGATGTATCGAAGGTTGCCGACGTTTCGAAGAAACGTACTGATACCACCCACAGGGTCAAGAAAACATGCAAGTAGAAGGAGTGCTGTCGGAATGTCAGATCTAACAGTACGTACAGTAAATCTGACTAGGTCCCTCGTACTAAGGAAGAAGGCCTGTCTGAGGATGTCTGGGAACGGGATGCTGAGGAAAATACGTCTATCTGGGGGGAAAAAAAGGCATGTTAGGCAAGGTTGAAATTCCAAGAAGTGACAGTGGTCACAGCCGTCCGGAAGTCACATCCAGATGCATGAATCACGGTACTAAGCTGTTGCCGTTATCACTTCTCGTTGAACAGTAGAAAGACAGGCAGCTTCTGCCTTGACGGAATAGGCTGCCTGGTATGTTCCCATTCAGAATTAATTGTGAAATATGAATCTTACAGAGAGTTGCTAGGACTCCTTTGACGGGGGATCAGCTCTGTCGCAAGGCTGCTAGCTACACAGGACAAGACAAAAACGGAATAAACGCAGACACACATCCCTGCCTCGAGTGGCATTGCTACCCACGATCCCAGTGTCTGAGCGGGCGGAGACAGCTCATGCGTGAGACCGCGCGGCCATTGTGATCGGCCTCATCCTCTATTTGTTGTTCATTTAACGACGCTGCCAGTATCTCAAACTATACACTGTCGAATGTTGGGATGAGTGACTGATTGGAAGGGATGTGGAAGGAACCAGTTGTGGCCAGAATTCGTTCGGAGATACTGCGTCACAAACTGGTAAAGGTAAACACGCCATGACGACGTATGGAGAACTGGAGGTACATCACCACGGATTCTTGACCACTGCACTAGATGGAGGTCAGTGGTCAGCAACACACACCGGGGAAAGATCACCCGGTGCTCAATGAATACGGTTGTTGGGCCCCAGAGCCGATCTGGACGCCGTGGATAAGTTTCTTTTTCTTCGAACCCCGGTTCCTTGGCCATCCAGCCAGTAGTCCGTCGCAATACCGATTCAAAACAGAGAAGTCGAAAATTAAACAAGCTACGAGTTCGTACTCTGACATGACACTGTTTTTCAAACAATTTTCAGGGCATAGTCCTGGTACTACAAGGCGCTGGGACGCCTCTCCCGCTCGACAATGCCCGTGATGACAGCCGGCTGGAGAAAACTGCATCACGAAGAAATTCAGAATTTGTAACAAAATATTAGTTCCAGGATTATTAGACGAGGACACGTGGCATGCAAAGGAGACAAGAAATGTATACAAAATTTGTGTCGGAAAATCTGAAATGAAGCGACTCCTTGGAAGACCTAGGCGTAAATATCAGGATAATATTTAAATGAATCTCAGAGTGGCTGAGTGGGAATGTTTGGTCTGAATTAATCTGGCGAAGGGTAGGGTAGTGAGGGAAAAGAAAGTGGGTTCCATAAAGTGGGACAGATTCTTTAATAGATTAGCAGCTATCAGCTTCTGAATAAGCGTTCTGTGTTTTGTTAACATACCCCAGTTGAATAACTACAAACACTGATACAGCTTCGATACATAACCTACGAACCAAAACATAAAACTACCTAAAATATTGAAGTCCTCATGCTTAATTAAGCATTATGCCATGACGACATACGGTGGAGTGGAGGTATAGCTCCATCATTCTTGACCTGGGAACCTGGTGAAGATGAGTGGTCAACTTCATGTCCCGGCCCCTTTACCCCCGGGAAGAGCCCCAGTGTGCCCACTGGTTAGGAGGCTGGATACGCCCCAGAGACGGTCTGGACGCTGTGGGGAAGATAAGAACCTTACCAAGCTGGGATTCGAATGCGGGTCGTCCAGCCAGTAGCCGATCGCTATGCTGACTCATAAACAAACACCTGCACTCTTAAATTGCCAATGCGTATCAGCGAATTTGACAACGAAATAAAGACGTAAAGATTACAGAAATATGTAATCGACCTTCATGCATGAAAATCGTTTTTCATAACAATTGTATAATGAAAGACCACTTAACTACTAACTGCAAAATGTTACAAGAAGGTTGCAGTGTTGCCACCAACACAGACTTACAGCATCATGCGAACAGTGAAATCAGGAGGCTTAAATGCACTTTGCAAATCCATCCGCTCTTAACCTTGGCAACAGGCAGAACAGAATACCGAGGCTGTTGACGAAACTGACAGACGATTTTGACAAATGTTGATCGAGCTTATATTACGCAGCAGTGAGCTATGATGCTTAATGTGGCCAGCCTGTTGACGTTCCCCCAAGTGTACTGCATAATATGATGCAATGTCAGGCAGATGGTGTTCTCAGCGTGCGGTCCACGTACCATCTCAGAAGACATGCCCTCTCTTCATTTATGAACTGCGTGAAGTTGTAGAGGGTGGAATAAAATGATCAACTGGAAAGAATTTGAAAGGAAGCAAAAATAGCCGGCGTTAAGGTACTATTGAAACATATGGCTAGACAGAACGAGGAGGCCTGGGAATGTCTCAGGACATGGCTACCGGCCAACATTAAAACTAGAGAGTATGTAAAACAGAATGTACGCCCAATACATAAACAGACATAAAAGAAAGTACGTAATATGGGGTACCTTGTGGTTTCCGGGGTTATGATACCGTCCAGTTTCATAAATGCCATCAGGATTTTTCCAAAGAACCAATTTTTCATATGGGGGNTGAACGACAGTTTCAGTAGCTCGGGATATATATTAAGCGTAAAATAATAGGATAATTAGCGAAT